AATTCCATTCCTGTATTTTAGACAGAAATCCTGGGTGTTTCTGCAATGATAATCAATAACTAATTCAAGCTATTAGCAGGAAAGAGGGTCCATTCTTATTTTGGTCTTCTGCCCAAACCTCACCGACCACAATCAATGTTAAATTAATTTTATGGGAGAAGGGGAGGATACATCCAGAAATTATTTCTAGAAGATTCCAACTTGGAAAGTATAACAGCCCCAACTGGAAGAATAAGAAGACTCTACTTAGATGGATGAACCAGGATAATCTATTTAGATTAAACTAAACAATTCTAATTAGTGCAAGAGCCAGGCAGGTAAATAGGTAGTACTGTTGCTATCCACAAAAATAATTGGACCTTTTTACCGTTATAACCACAGGATTCCACTTCATCTGCCTTGCCTGCATCCTATGGAAACCAAAGGCACACTGACACTATCGCAAATATAGTTGCCATGGCAATATCCTATGGAATCCTAGGATTTGTATTAAATGAGGTCCTAGAGCTCTATGGCAGGGAATTCTAAACTGCTATTGCCAGAATCCCATGGGATGTTGTCATAGCAGTATAATAATAATAATAATAATAACAACAACAACAACAACAACAACTTAATTTTTGTATCCCGCCTCCATCTCCCAGAAGGACAAGCCCAATCAACATAGTTAACATAGGGTTGTTGTAGGTTTTTCAGGACATATGGCCATGTTCTAAAAGCATTCTCTCCTGACGTTTCACCTGCATTTATGGCAGAGGTTGTGAGGTTGCCTGCCATAGATGCAGGTGAAATGTCAGGAGAAAATGCTTCTAGAACATGGCGATACAGCCCGAAAAAACTACAACAATCCAGTTATTCCGGCCATGAAAGCCTTCGACAATACATAGTTAACATAGTTTATAAAACAACATAATAAAATAATATAAAAAACAACAACATAACAAAGTATAAAGTTTAATAGAATAATAGAGTTGGAAGAGACCACATGGCCCATTAGCCTAACCCCCCGCCATGCAGGAAAACCACAATCAAAACACCCTCGGCAGGTAGTCATCCAGCCTCTGTTTAAAGCCTCCAAATAAGGAGTCTCCTCCATACTCTGAGGCAGAGAGTTCCACTGCTGAACAGCTCTTACAGTCCAGAAGTTCTTCCTAATGTTCAGGTGGAATCTCCTTTCCTGTAAATTGAACCCATTGCTCCGCATTCTCGTTTCCAGGGCAGCAGAACACAAGCCTGCTCCCTCTTCCTTATGACAGCCTTTCAAATGTTTAAACTTGGCTAATATGTCTCCTCTCAACCTTCTCGTCTGCAGGCTAAACATTACTTTAACAGATTTAGCCCTAGATTTCATGATAGCTAAGATAGTACTATCCAAGAGTGTGTCTTTGGTTCAGAGCATGTTTCCAGCTCCATTTTATCTCTGGGGGAAACCAACATGTTTATTTTTTTGTCACAGTCACATCATCACATGCTTAAATATATCATTATTATCTATACCAGTGGTTACCAACCTTTTTTTGACCAGGGACCACTTTGATCAGGGACCACTCTCCAACATTCGTACCAAAAGGGTTACAAATCGGTTTTTGGTCAATTTTAGATTTGGTTTGGTTAATTGGGCTGCTTATTCAGAAAATTGCATTGGATAGAGCACATCAGCTCTAGTTTCTGATACAAAACATGCCATCCAGTGGTCACAATCTGCTCGCCCACAAAAAATCATATTTAATAAGCCTCGGGACTATAAGAGGGTTTTGCGAGATCAGTCACTCTTGTTGCGATGCTGTAGTAACAGTGAGGCTACGGACCATATTTTAGTTCTTACGGACCACGGTCCATTGACCACAGGTTGGGAACCACTGCTCTACACAAATCATAGTTTGGGTTTATGTTGCTACAAGTTCTACAAAAGTAATCTCTTAGATTATATCAATGATTTGCAGCGGAGTAGTTTCTAGATAGCTTTGTCAGCTATCTAGATGTTGTGTTTGGTCCCATCTACACTGCCATATAATCCAGTTTCATAATGCAATTTAACTGCATTGGACTGCATTATATGAGTCCACACTATGATATAATGCAGTTAAACTGAATTATGAAACTGAATTATGAAACTGTGTGTGTGTGTGTGGGGGGGGGGGGGGGCTTGGTCAAATATTCCTACCAATGTCTTGGAACACTTATTTAGAGCTTACTTTGCAACTAACACATTATTAATTTGGTACGTTTTAATAACTAAGTTTGTAAACATTTGAATAACCTTAATCCTCACTTTATCTCTCTGGTTCTCAACTGCCTAACATTACACATTAAGGACGCAAATAATATTCACAAATTTTCTCATTCTTGACAAGAAGACATGATAACACATCAGGAATCTCACATACTGAATCATTTCTCACATTTTGAGATTTTCTGTGGAAAATTTGTTTAAACAAATGAAAACATTTTTGCACAAAAACAAGTCTCCCACACAAAAAGTCTTACTGAAAGTCCTGAAACTTGAAAAAAAAATCAAAATGTGCAAAGGCACTCATGATACATGCTGCTATGTGCTATGCATTATATTTTATTTACACACACACAGTCAGACATACTATGATCTTCACAGCTCTTATCTTGTGATTTTAAACATTTACAATCCATCACCAACAAAGGCGAAAGTGTGTTATAAGCAATAACACCAGATATAAAAGTCTAGTCACATCCGACTCTGGGGGGTGGTGCTCATCTCCATTTCTAAACCAAAGAGCAGGCATTGTCCATAGACACCTCCAAGGTCATGTGGCCAGCATGACTGCAAGGAACACCTTTACCTTCCCACCAGAGTGGTACCTATTGATCTACTCACATTTGCATATTTTCTAGGTTGACAGAAGCTGGGCCTAACAGCAGGAGCTCTCTGTGCCCCCCCCCGCCAGATTTGAATCGCTGACCTTTTGGCCAGCAAGTTCAGCAGCTGAGTGGTTTAACCTGCTGCACCACTGGGGATTCCTTAACACCAGATATACTGTATACCAAATCCAGATGCCTTCATATGCTGAAATATAACCATATAATACTGCCCACTTAATTTTTTTTCAATACTACATCATATAGCAATGATGTATGAATGACATTTTATTTTCTTTATATGCCACCCTATTATTAACTCTCTAAACCTGACTTTTGTGGTTTTAAATTTTAGAGTATTGATATACTTAAATGCTTTTTCACATATGGTGCTCGTACCACTCAAAATACCATAATGTGTCAAAAGTCAAACAACAGCTATAACTGCCCCAACAGTTAAAATTTAATGATGACTTAAAACTCAAAGGGATACTAAACACAAAACTTGGAATTTAATTTAAAACACAATCTAATATATGTCTATTCGGAGCTAAGTTTTGATTAGTTCTGAATTGCATGGTGTAGGTTTGGATCTAAAGACTGCCGTTTATTTATAAGCAAGCTCCCCTAAACGCCACAGGCCTACATTTTTGCAAAGAACCATGTTGTACACAGAATTCATTATTGTGGTTCAGACACAGCCAACAGAGAAGTTATACCTCACAGATGTAAACTATTTTATCTCAGGATATATCAACACTGAAGATTGCTCCACTTTATTCTGGTACTATTTTGACTCTTTGCTTTACAAACACATTTATCTTTCATATAGTCTCCCTTGCACAAATGCCATTTATTATATATATATTTTCACTGCATCCATACGCTATACATTTTTGTTAGATGAGGAAATTTATTTAGAATTGCTCAGGCTGACATTGATAGTTTTCCTTCTGATTGGCTTGAACCAAATAAATGTTTGACTGGTAGTACTTGCAATTGTTAACATTTTTCATACCAAATTCCATGTATAATGTAACAAAAAGAGCAATTTCCCCAAAACAGAAGACGTTTGCCTATTGATTCTGATACCACATAAGTCTAAACCTAAAGCCTACTTAAGATTAATTCATAAATATGCATTCTGGAGAAAAATATAGTGAAATTCAAAGTGTCTGTGTGTTCACATAATTGATGATCAGGTCCAAAACCTTACTACAATCCTTGCTTGTGGCCATTTAGATAACATGATAGGTTTAGTGACAGTTATCAAGCATGCAAATCTGTAGAGGAAGATAGAGAATAAAACTTTAAATTACAGTACAGATAAACAAGGCCTTCCTTCAGAATACACACAAGACTGAATTAAGATTTTTAAATTAGGATTACAGGAGGTCCTCGAGTTACAAACATGTGATTTACATGTGACTCCTAGTGACAAACAGGAATAAAAACAGCAGAAAGTAAGTGGAAATCTAGCCCCCCTCCCCGAAGGAAAATTCAATCCTATGAGAGTTGTTCATGGGAAAATGTGTCTCCATTGAAGCTTTATTGCCAATCCTTGTTTCTATGATAACCCAATATTTTCAAAATCCAAGTGTCACAGGAACGTGAACAGGGGCACAGACAGCAAAACAAATATTACAGGGTGTTAACACTTTCCTATGCTATGGGCCCCCTTGATAGCACAGTGGGTTAAACCATTGAGCTGCTGAACTTGTTGACCGAATCCGGGGAGCAGAGTGAACTCCCACTGTTAGGCCCAGCTTCTGCCAACCTAGCAGTTCAAAAACATCCAAATGTGAGTAGATCAATATGTACCAATTCTACAGGAAGGGAACGGTGCTCCATGCAGTCATGCCGGCCACACAACCTAGGAGGTGTCTTTGGACAACGCCAACACTTTGACTTAGAAATGGAGATGAGCACCACCCCCCAGAATTGGGCACGACTAGACTTAATGTCAGGGGAACTCTTTACCTTTATCTATGCTATACAAAACTAAAAAAATGGCTGGAGTTACACTTTAAAAAAACTGAACCTTTTCCACACAAATTCAATTTAAGAAGAAACTTACAGTACCTATCTTGTTCTTAACCTGGAAACTGCCTGTATAATAAAAAATACGACTTACTGCAACTATTGTAGAAAAGGACACATCAGCATGCCTGCAAAACTAGGAGTGTGTGGAGAGGGATATCCCCAGAAAGGAACAGCAGCAAGTTCTGAGAGAATGCTAAATCTAGTCCTTTTCCTGTAAACCACAAAGCAACCTCAAATCACTCATTTACATTTCTATTCTAGGTAGAAACACCTCATAGTACAAAAAACATCTCACAGTACAAAAATCCTGCTTATGCCCATTTGGAGAGAGCGTTTCAGGAGAAAGTATGGGCTGCCCGGTAGGGCCACAGAACATACACAATCCCCGTTTGCCTGTAATAAAAAGCGCAACATAATAAAGAGTCCATAATAGCACACAAGGCATTCCTTTGAGGACACATTTTTCTGTTCCATCAATATTTTACAGTGCATGATAAAAGACATCAAATTGAGAAATTAAAGTTATGACTGCAAAACAGTTTTGAGAGATCCACTCATTTCAGGCGGAAACCTACCGTATTCAGTTCAATTAATGTATGCAGGCAGAACGCCATTCTCTCCAATAAAGGAATCCATACACCCCATACTCAGACAACTCGGTGCCCTATTCACATGCACGCAAACAAATTAAGTTTCCCTAGACGAGTGGTTCCCAACCTCTGATCTTCCAGGTGTTTTGGACTTCAGCTCCCACAATTCCGAACATCTGGTAAACTGACTGGTATTTCTGTGAGTAGAAATCCAAAACAACTGGAGGACCAAAGGTTGGGTGGGAACCACTGCCCTAGACATATACACTGATCCATAACTTCCCACACATAAACAAACCCTGCCTACTAATTTCAGGTTGTACTGATTTTTCCTGGCTATGGCCCCATCTACACTGACCATATAATGCAGTTTCAAACTCTACTGGGCATGTTCCTTGATGCTTCTCTAGACCAGTGGTTCCGAAACTGTATTCCTAAAATGCCACAAAGTCATCATAGGGATTCCACGAAAAATCTTTTTTTTAAAAAAGCCCATGCCAGAATATGAAGATTTTATTGAACTTCAATGTACCTTTGCATTCAAAACAAAATTTGAATCTCTTTATTTCCAAACCTACTCCATTATACAAAACACCAAGGAATAGGAGTGGATGAAAGAAGGAAGACCTCTGCGGGTTCACAATGCTGAGGGACAGTTAGGCTTCCACAGGAAAACCAAAAACAGAGGTCCCTTCTACACTGCCATATAAAATCCAGATTATCTGCTTTGAACTAGATTATATGGTAGTGTAGACTCATATAATCCAGTTCAAAGCACATAATGTCAATTATCTGATTTGATAATCTGGATTATACAGCTGTGTAGAAGGGCCTAAATTAGGGTTTCATGGGGGGTGAATCTTATAAAAAAAGTTTATGAACCTCAGAGGATGCCTGCCGTAAATGTGGGCGAAACAAGGCAATTAAATGCTAATGCTAATCAAGGTAGACAATTTCAACATTTACGCTTGCCTCAAGCAGACAAGAGTTTTTTTTCCCACCCTGGACAGATATATAAACCCCACTTGCATATTTTCCAGCAGTCCTCACAACCTCTGAGAATGTCTGCTATAGATATGGGTGAAACGTCAGGAGGGAATGCTTCTGGAACATGGCCATACAGCCTGGAAAACTCATAGCAACCCAGTTATGAACTATTGCTGTAGATGACGGCTTCTTAAACTTTTCCACTTACGTGAACCCAGGTATATAGATATATAAAAGAGGTATAAAATATAACATTAACTGATAACAAATTAGCAACAGGTTTATTTTCCTTTTTTGAGAAGTGAGATGCCTGGTTCAGTTGCACTGTCTGAATTATTATAATCCAGTCTTGGATGTACAAACACAATTGTTGGCCAATTTTATACAGAATTGCTTTCCTTTGTTTTATTCTTTTGGTAATGATTTCTGGATCAAAGAAGGAAAGTGGAAGAGCAGGATAAATTCAGTCACAGTGCACAAGAGGGCTACAATGGCTGGTTCGTGATTTTTCTCTCCCCCCCCCCCAATGTAGCAAATCAATTGCCGTAAGAAATTTGCCCCAATCTAAGGAAAGAGCTGAACATAGATTTTGTCTGTAAACATATTGATTTGGTTACAATAAATTTTCAGTGTAGTCCAGCTACCTGGAAATTCAGTGAAACACAGCAAACTACCAGATCCCTCAAGCAATTGGCAGACCCACTCAAGGAGCTTTTCTCAGCAGGTCACTTCTGCTATGGCTATATCATTCAGTTCAAAGTGTGGTGGAGTCTCCTCCTTTGGGGGTTATAAATCAGGGGTTGGATAGTCATCTGTCAGGTGTGCTTTGACTATGTATTCCTGGATGGTAAGGGATGGCATGGGCGCCTCTACACAGGGCACACAGGCGTGGTCAGAAACATTGTGAAATGCTCCTGTGCATCATGTAAATGCCACCAGAGCAGATTTTCGACCACTTTGGGATATATGGCCCATGTAGATGTGTCCCATGATTCTATGGGTACATCTACAATGTAGAATGACTGCAGTTTGGTACTTTAACTACCATGGGCCAATATTATGGAATCTTGGGAGTTATAGTTTGGTGAAGCACTGGCACTCTTTAGTCTTCTCTTTTACAGAGAAGACTTAAGTAAAACTACATGTCCAATGATTTCATAGTATTGAACCATGGCAGTTACAGTGGTATCAAACTGAAATTCTACAGTGTAGATGTGCTTCTGTACTATTAGCACTGGGAGCAGTGCAATAAGAGTCTATAAATTAGTATGACGACGACTCAGACTGGCCCTGGAATATGATCTGGATCATGTGATTTTAACTGATGTTTTAATGCTATGTTTTGATTGGTTTGGTTCTAATGCTTTTGTTTATTTACCAATGTATGTGTATATGTGGTATCGGATTGATGCCTTTGTAAGGCCACCCTGAGTTCCCTTCAGGGTTGAGAAAGGTGGGATATAAGTGTGGTAAATAAATAAATAAAATAATATTGGAATTAACTATTTTAAAAAGAAATTGAGGAAAATTCTCCAACCCAAATTAAGAGTAGCAATCCTTGCCAGATTATAAATTACACTGTCGCATCCCCTCTGGTCATGGGTTACTTTCTGCCATATTGGTTTGACATCCAGTTTAGTCTGATATATCTACATACTTTTCCTATGTACTACTTACTCACAAGTAAATTGCAGGAATAAATTTAAAAGTAATAATTTTAAGATTGACATCATTTCCCGTATTTGAGATTAACATCATTACCTGTATTACTTCAGTGGTCACAGACTTGCTCTTCACAAGTATTAAAATATCCAAAATACACATTTATTAGGACCACCAGCAGGCACAAAAACCATTTTGTTTGCTTTAGAAATACACTGACTTCTTTGTCAAGCAAAGTACCATAGGTCTCTATGCTGTTTGTTTGAGATGTTACAGGGAGGTCTTAATTCAGAAATATTAAATGAGATAGTGTATTGTTTATCCTTTTCCTGTCTTCATTTATCACCTGTTTTGATAATTGATGATGATTTAGTGGAAATAAATTCTCACTATCAATCAGAAACCTGTTTTGTCAACATGCACCAGGAGAGGTTGTTCAATTAAGCTGAAGAACAGCTTACGCACCAGACCCTTAGATACAGCATAACAAACACTACAGGACACTCGATTCTTTTTCCTAAAAAAAGATCAAAACTTCAAATGTATAGTTCAGTATCAAAGTGATTAAATGAAGCTGACTTTAAAATGACAACTCTGCTATAAATACCAACTAAATACATCTCCAAACCTCCAAACATATATGTCACAAATAGATGGAAAAGCTTTTTTAATGCTATTTGCTTGATTTATTTAACAGTGTATCATAGAAAGCAACTGATACAGTGCCCATTGAAGACCATCAGTATTCCTAAGTACTGGCAACAACTAAGATGAACAAAGATGTGTCCACTAAAAAACAAAGGGGGAAAAAATCGCTTTATTATATATCTTCAGCACTGGGAATTTTTTTTCTTACCGGTCTATGAAATACTCTCTCTCTACCAACTGCACAAGAATTTCAAGAAGGCTGATAAATGGAAGAACTAGAACTTTCAAACTGCTAGGCGCATTTACAGAAGCTGTACATGTATTGGTGTGGGTTTTTCCTTTCCCCACACTATCAAGAATGGCAAAACAATCAAAGCAAAACATGTCAAGCATTATTTATTTACAAAATTATTTATGCTTCCCCGTTAGTGTCCTGGAAGCCCCTATAGTTGTTCTCAATCTGTGGGTGTCCCCCCCCCCCAGGTGTTTTGGTCTACAACTCCCAGAAACCCCAGCCAGTTTACCAGCTGTTCAGATTTCTGGGAGTTGAAAGCCATTACTTCTGGGGACCCACATGTTGAGAACCACCTTTTACCAATAATCTCAGGTTGCGAACCACTGCCCTATAGAAACCAATAATTCATCATTTTAAAATAGGGAGGGTGGGAGGATCACATATCCTTCCAGATGTTCTTGGATTGTGACTCCCTGAATTCTTGACCACTGGCTACTCACTGGATGACTTGCAGTCCCACAATATTTGGTATAGTGCCTGACTCCTGCTCATGCCTTGAAACAATGCTATAAGAAACAAGAACTCAAGGGAAACAGAAAACTATTTTGAAAAAGTATCAGAGTAAAGGAGGGAGAGTTCAAAACTTTATCAAAATAAATAACATTCAAAATAATTCAAATGCTGAGCACAGCAAAACAGTTTTAGCAGCCTGACTGAACTAAACAAAAATATGGCCAATCACCTCCCTAAGGTAATGGCAGGGAGAAGCAGAAAACAGCTTTAACATCCAGGAAACACAACTGTTCAAAATCTCAATAGACTTCTTGACGCAGCCAAGTCCCATAGTTAGGATGCTGAAACAGAAAAAGCTTTGGCACATGTGACCACTAAACTAGATATTTGGTTGTGGGACATAAAATAAGCCTCTGAAGCAGAACGTAAACTATAGGCACTTTTGCACAGGATGAATTCCAGGTATCCCAAGTGTGTAGTTTTTCATAGGAAAGAACAGCATCATGGATCAGACTTTGAGAAAAGGCACAGGATTGGTATGATATGGTCAAGAAAGTGCACAACAGAAAGC